ACTAAATGGTATTGATTGATGATATTTTTAAATTGTATGCTACTAAAAATTATCGTTAATCAAAATTATAATTAGTATTTTTTTTATTGTGAACATTTGCAATCATTAGAATTTCTTGATAATATCATAAAAGTAGTGCTGGCAAAAAGGAATCTATATATTTTCAGGGTCTAAAGCGGGTCAACGGAGGGTTTTAACTAAACCCTACTTTGAAGCTTTAGCAGGAAAAAAGGAAATTTCGGACATATTGTAGCGCCAAAGTAGATGCTATTATATACATACGATACAATGCATAACATCTACTTTGACTCTCTTATGCCTACCTCAAAATAAAAGATTAAGGTTCAATATAGGTGCTAAATTTCGACTCGGGTTTCTCAGCGAGATGGACAATTTTGTTTGCATTTTATGTAAACGCCAATTTCAGATAAATTACTGCACATTCTAAATTTTTATACTTTTTTTTTTTCTTTCAAATAAAGTCAGACTTATACACGTGAATGCGTTTTTTTTTGTTTTATCTCCTCTGATCTTAGCATATAAGAATCTAAGCGCCTTTCAAGCGCAATCTATCGAATATCACGGCAAGAGCATTATAGTTCCCAAGAACAGCCGGTGTTCACGACATGAGTGGCTGCAAGTTCCTATCGTTCCTCGCTCGGAAGGTCCAATTTCTGTGAGGCAGAAAAAGCGGGCGGACGGCAGTACCGCCAACAATGACGCTCATTATGAAACGCTAGGAATTGAGTCGCGTTTCGTAAACCACCGGCCGTTTTACCGTGGAAATTTTCAGGACAAGAAGGCGGCCGACAGAATCTCGTTTTCCCGGTGCCGTGGCTACGACGTTCTCTCGGAAAATAATTCTCCTCATTCGCGAACTTCCCGCTCGCTTTCGCTCCCGAATTGCACGGCGGCGAGATTTATCTGCCGGACCAGAAATGTTTATCGCATTCACGTCTCACGACAGTAGACTCATTGTCAGCGAAACATTCGCGGCTGTTTCCTCCATTCTTTCGTCTTTATATCCTCGTTTGCGCTTAGGATGCTTTTTCCAAATTTTTAACAACCGTGTGAACAATCGTCGTTTGCACACAGACCGGAAAGTGCGAAAGCTCTCTCTAACCACGGCAATTCACATACAAAGAAGTCCGACAATTCGCTGAGGCGCGCAATACTAAAGCTCGCACAGTACGATAATCGTAAAATTTATGATCGTTGCGATATACATGCGCATATATGTTGCCAGAATACTTACTACGTCTGTGCTCTTACTTCATGCGTGGAGCTACGCACACGTCAAGTTCAGCCATGTTACTAATTAGTTGCAACAACGGCCGCTAGACTGCGTAAATAATACTTTCCGAAAAATACGATCGTACGATTTACAACGACACGTGGAAAAGAGTCACTCGTTCTATATTGCGAAAGGTAACATTTATAGACGGTTCGAGACGTAAAAATCGAAGTCAGTTGGCATTTACAATATTCTGTGATATATATAATGCAGTTACGCGATTTATAGGGTCGTTAATTTGTTAAAGGCGAAATTTTATTCGCTTCCTCATTTATTCTTTTCTTGTATTTTTATATCCTCGATAAGATTAAAATAAATAAATTTTATGATTGCTGTGCATCGCAAAAGAGGCAATAACTTTTGAATGATACCTTACTAAAATAATATTTTTATGTTATTCTTTCGCTATAAAACAACTTTTGCTTCATGTCTTATGTATACAGGGTGTCTGGCAATAATCGCCCCACCAGTCATATACAGGTAGAGGAGGTCAAATCGAGTAGAAAAGTCCTTTACCATTTTTTAATTTTCATAATAAGTACTGAGTAATTAACGAAAAAAGATCGGCGAATCCGCGCGAGTAAAGCGTGCGCGGTGAGAAGGACGTCCCACTGCTACGCGATCACTAGGACACAAGGATCTAGCGTTACGCGCCGCTCGTATGTTGCCATTGTCATTTGTAGAGCGCTCCTCCCAACGCTTCATCGCGCGCCTAGTGATCGCATAGCAGTGGGATGTCCTTCTCGCTGCGCGCGCTTTACTTGCACGGATTCATCAATCTTTTTTCGTTAATTACTTAGTACTTATTACAAAAATCAAAAAATGGTAAAGGACTTTTCTACTCGATTTGACCTCCTCTACCTGTACATGACCGGTGGGGCGATTATTGCCAGACACCCTGTATATGTACATATATACAGAAATTCACTGATCAAAGGTCGTGTTATACCGCGCTATATAATGCTTTTGTATCTCCGTGACACTTCGTCAATAATCCCGAATAAATACATGCTTGATCTCCCTTTCGGTAGAGGCGCTCGAAAAGAAATGTGCGAAACGTAAAGCGTATATGCGAAGAAAAAAGAAACGTTAGATATCTTCAAAATATCACAAAATGTTACGTATAAATTTGAATAAAAATAAAATTTGTTCCCACTTTTTGAATGAAATATTTTTATGCCATTTTAAATAATAAATTGAGTTTTAATATTTTACTATGAAAAACATCGTTATATTCATGTGTTTAGTTATTGAAAATTTTATAATATCTATTATTACCACAAATATTTTGTATAAAATATTTACAATAATAATAAATAACGTAGTAAAATGTATATAATATGATAATAATAAACATTCTGTATAAAATATTTACTGATATCTTGAATAATTTAGCCTGCAGCGGAAAATTACTAAATTCATCTGGTTCATCCTGGATATGTGGGGAATTTCATATGAAAGCAGAATTTTTGCGGATCGCCGAGATTCCGCTGTAAGTCGGCGTAGAAATGCGTGGCACGTTCGAAAACTGGTTAGGCGTCGACGAGGCAGCGATCGCATTATCGATCGGATCGGTTTATCGCAGATCGACGAATAGAGCTTTATTCGCGCCGACTGAATTTTTATAGCGCGTTCTCCCGGCGCATTTTTCTTGTTGCGCCAGAGTGCTTTATGCGACGTGATCGAGTCGCGGGGACGAATGTACGCTTTTCAGGGGGCAATATCTCTGGCTCTCGGGCTCGGGGGCTCGTGAGCGTTTTGTCCCTAGCAGCCGAAGTCTCTCCGCTCTTTCAACGGGAGCCGAATGATTAAGCTGCCGATCGATTCGCATTTATTTTCTCCCCGCGAACCCCGCCCGCGGCGCCGATGCGGGACACAGGTGCTACGGCCGACCGCAAAACGAGAACAACCCCATGCAAAGCTGCTTGCGCATCGATTTATATCTCTCTCCTCCCAATCTCCGTCCCTACTAGAAGTGACGTCTCTACTCGTCTCTTCTGTTCGTTCTCGACGTAGCCGAAATCCGACTTTCAAACACGTATATCGATTCCGTCTGATGAGAACCAACTGTGTGTCGCTTTATCGGACATATATTTAGACTACGGTGAATGGTGGTAAAATGTTTTAACATATTTTTCTAAAATGTGTTACATTTTATCACCACTGTTAGACATACAGATGATGGGAAAATTGAAAGCGGTATTAATAAAATATTAAAAAAGTATAAATATATGAACTAGTTTGAAAATAAATAACTAAATTATTCCTGTACTAATTTTTATATCTCCATATTTTTAATTTAAAAAATTTTTAAGTTATCGATTTCCTTAATTCTTGAATCTATAAATTTATGAAATCTTGAATTTATAAAAATTTGCATAAATTATGTTATAAATATTAAAAAGTACAATTTTAGCACTTATTTCTATTATAGAAATACAACAGAATTTTGTATTCTATTAAATAAAATTAATTTACATAGAATAAATTTAGTTTTTTTTTCTATTATTTTATTATTATTTTATTCAACAATTTATCTCTTTGATTTTAAAAACGAAAAATACAATTTATCTCTTTGTATTTAGCAAAAAAATTAGCTAGTCGACTGAATATCGCTAAACACATTCATTCAGATTCATTGTCAGAAGTTTAGCAGATGCTGAGCACATGGCGCCAACTATCGGCGCAAGAATCTTCTCTTCTTTCAATGCCAGCTGACAGCTGCCGCGTACCGGCAGTCTGCGTGTAACTGCGCGTAACTGTGTCGTGTGTTTGTTGTGAATAGTTCGTTCTTTTTATCTATCCATTGAGACGAGTATTTAAGACGAATACATTCGGCATCTTGGCAGAAACGACGCCGGTCGCAGAATGGAGAACGTTTCCGTGTCCAAGGTAAGCGATACGAGGCATGCAACCTGTTGCTTTTACCAGCTTAACCTCAAAATGTAAACCTGGTATGCAGAAAACGCGGACAATAACAGGCCATGTATTACCGTCTTTTTCGTACGTCTTAAAAGTTGCTTCAAAATTGCTAATACATTCGACAAGAACTGCATTTTTTGCACAACATATTTTTATTTTTATAATTAAAATAACTTTTTTATAAATTTTGTTCTTAATTTTTTTTAAATAGAGTATTTAATTTTTTCAACAGGTGATGGCAAAATTTGACAAAATTTAGAGTTGAATATTAATATGTCCGCATATATTATAAGCATTGCATGTATATAGATTTTTAATTATTTATAATCGATTATGATCAGTTTGGTCAAATTATGCGTTGTATATAATTTTATTTATGTATGCGAGATGCAAATTGCAAGAAAAATGTTGGTTTTTGAGTCGTTCTTTAGTCGGTATAATTCGATGTGTAGTAATTTGTATAATGAATATTAATGTGTAATTTAATTACATTAAATTCTAAAGCGTAACAAAAGGTAATAATTCATCGCTAGTTTAGTGCTGATGAGCCAGAAAAGCGATAATTAGAACATTGCAGCATTGATCGTGATTTTTAGGGAATTTTTGCTTACAAAGGAAGTTACAAAATCGGCAAAAAGAAAAACAAAGTTCCATGCCCGGAATATTTCAACGAGCCCTGGTATACAGCGTATAATGAAACGTGGAGATATATCGAACAAGCTGCAGAGGTACACTGTGCATTTAAATTCATCTATAAAATCTCTGTTTAACCAGAAACCTCGGCTAAACCAGAAATCGGAAAACTTAACGGCAGAATATGTTGATATTTCAGAATGTAAGGTCGAAAATGTTTCAAGAAGTGATGTCCAATTTGGAGTTTTTTGTGTCAAAAGTAAAAGCGACTCCTTTGAATACGACGTCACACGAAATAAACACGGCTATTTTATTAACAGGTGAAAATAAACGTTGAACTTGCTGTATTTCTTACAAGCGATCGTATTGGTCATCTTATATATAGTATTGTCAATACATAATTTGCAGCGTTTAAAATTGGTTTCATTACAGTTTTCTCGAAATAATTTTTTACTACAGAAGTATTTTTAAAATCTCAATAAATTGCGCGGTTTTCAAGTAAATTAAAATTGTAGGAGTTAATGTTCCCGATCACACGACACTTTTCGATGCAGCAGTAGCCAAACTTAGCAAGATAACGTCGCACATAGCAGTATTGTGGAGCAGAAGTTGTAACGGTGTGAAAGGCATAATTGAGGACACTGTATATCAATTTGTCCACAAATCGGAATTGGTTAGTTTGCAATAACAGCATTATCGGGAAAATCTTTTGCGATCTTCAAACACAAGTCATCATTTGCAGGATGATGTTTCCGAAGTGCGTAAGAGTCAGTGCACTTTGCGCGTCTTGAAAGAATGGTTTGCGGAACATCATGACAAAGAGGATCCCTTAATCGTAATTTTACCGGATTTTGAAAGCTTTTCCACTAATGTTCTACACGATTTCATCCTGGTGTTGAGGTATTTTAATGACAATGTCTCGGTGCATGAATGAATCAGCGGACAGCGAATAAAGATATCTTGCATAATCAATAAATTATTTAAATTCATGTATAATATAAATTTATGATTAACACAGAATATTCTCTCACAAAATAATTTTCAGTTCGTACAGAAATACATTGAAGTTCGTACTTATATTTGGTGTCGCAACCTCGTTGCACGTCGTACACAGATCGCTAACGTATGATGTCACGTCAAAGTTGATAGTGCAGGCAAGTTAGACTATAAACTGTATGACGCGAATTACAAGTATTTTTATAATGATTTTAAATAGGTTCACATTAATTTTTTAGGTATTTTATACGCAAACACAAGTCAAAACACTAGCCGACGTGCTGGAGAACACTGTTTTCTCCTCAAAAATTCCATTCAAATTAATTGGCCGCGCGTTTCAATTGTTGACCGATATTTTTTTGTTCTACGATTTTTCGGTAGATAATTTTTTACAAAATTACAAGGTATGGAAAAGTCGACGAAGTAGAATTAATCGCAGTCAATGATTATTATAATAAACTATGATGATTTTAGATATGTATGATACAACACTTTTACGACAATAATACCACTTTCCTTTGTTGTAAACCGAAAAACATCAAGAAGAGAATATCGACACTTACTGACGAAAATATCGCGGACATTAAAAATTTACCATCTATCGCTAAATATTTAAAGATGTCTGGCGAAGTAAAGAATGAAAATAATACACTCAGCAATGTGGAATTCAAGGTTTGCACATTATTCATTTACAGTTAAAAAAAAGATACCAAAAATTGTGGACAGAAATATCTTTTAAATAATTGATGCTCGATTTTATTCCATTGAAATTTCATTCTGACGGCTAATTATCAAGCTGTTTAATATTGAAAATGAAATGATCGAAAAAAGATTTTTAATTGAATGAAAATTAAATTTTTATGATAAATGCGCTGCAATTCTAGCCAAAGCTTTCCTCGAATGGAACTCATTGACACACAATTTTTGGTTATTTTACACATTTCCGAATCTCCGAATAAGAGCATTTTTTATAGGAATTACTGGAAACGTTGTTGAACAAATTTCACAAATTTATGGATCAGTTTTTAATTATTTTAAGATGTTTACACTGCATGGTTGCATCATTGCCAGGCTCACCAATGGGCAAACAGGTAATATTGACAAATAAAATATTATATTATTGCAAAAAGACAGAAGAAAATATATACCGATCAAAAATTGGAATTGGTAGAGAATTAACGGCAATCTTTTCAGTTGCGGGAAGTTTACACGAAAGCGGTTTACACGAGTAATCTCACCGAGTCTTCAGAATATAAAGAATGTATAAAATTACTGGGATTTTTGTCGAAAGAGGAACTTCTCTTGAAACTCGAATCTATCTCAAAGATTCTCGAGGATTCCCAAGATTCGATCATCAAAAAGATTAAAACCGACCTGGACGCTCACATTAAGACGATCAAAGAAGCCAGTTTAGATACGCAGAAAGCTTCTTCCGAAATCGTTAGTGTGAATGAGAAACTTAGTCGTCTGCAACTAAAAGAGGTGTGTGTCAATTTTACTTCCATTAATTTTCTTTGCATTCGAAAAGTAGCTTCAAACGATTGCACAGTGTTACATTATTTTATGCTGCAAATTAATATGTTTTTATATTAAATTGAATTTAGCGCGGTAAAACTTGATAATTATTCCTCTTATTTAATTGTATTAATTTTTTGCATTCGAAAGGGTGCAAACGATTGTATAGTGTTATATTATTTTATGCCGCGAATTAATATGTTTTGATACTAATAAATTAAATTTAGCGTGATAAAACTTGATAATTATTTCTCGTAATATGCAAATTTACATACCATTAACGAGATTATATTATTTTACGTAAAACCGAAAGTTCTTTTTCTCTTTATATTTCCGCGAATGATTAAAATCCCATTATTCAGAAGTGAAGATCGTTGACAGGAGCAGAAAAACGTGATGATTAGTGGTTATCGCTCAATACTCTACGCACCCCTCGTTTCAGAAATTGCTTAGAATGAGTCAGCAACAGTCGCGCTCCGCCTACAAGCAGGCGCAGCACGATTTAATCGATTACCTTGATCGAGAGGTATTCTCCGCGCAGCTGATTGACCCGAGTCGCGTGACAGCCCACGAGATATTCTGCTACAGCGACGGGAACCAGGCGAAGCATCACATCCGCGGCTCTTTGAGAGCCGCCGTACACACGGGATTGAGCGATCCGCAGATGTATCTAGACGTGAGTGGGGCATTTCCGCACGAACGGACCGTGCACGCGATTTCGTTAGCCGGCTCTCTTGTCAGCTCACGTCGCCGCACAGCGGAAACGTGCCCGAAAAATTGTTCACGGTTAACTTGAAATCGTGAAATTGAATCCTTAAATAATACAAACGGACGGTCTACAAGCACGGTATTGTAGTTTCAGATTAATACGACGAGAGGAGATTATGTTGAACCTTTGCCTCTTTTAAATCTTTTAATCACGATTTGTGACTGTGAACTCAAATCCTGCATTTAGTTTTTCTAGTTCCCGGCGCGCTCTCTCGGCCATCTTTCATTTTATATCTTTCCAACATAGTCTTGGTTATTAATATCACAATCCGTTTTTTAAGAACTCGCCGAGCGGTCCTGCCGCTCGCGCCGTCGCGGCATTTAATCTTCTTTTATATGAGCGATTCATATCGGCGACCGCTGAAAAATCGCGCTTAACCGATTTCTCCGACGGCCGCGGCGTCCCCGCGGCGCAGTTAATTGGAAATGCATATTTCAGTGCGACTGCTGCAAATTGGAGAACGACGACGACATTCCGCGCACGCTCCCCGACCTGAGTATAATTTATAAGCTGCACTTGGAGTCCAGGAAGCTGATCAATATGTACGACTGGCTGCAGGTAACAATCCGGCTCGTGCTCATGTTTACAGGTTAATCCCTGTTACACTTACGATCACGCACCTTGGCCAACCGTCTCGTGATTTTAATCGTCGCCGCCGCCGCCGAAGCGGCGGTGATTCACGCGAGCACGCCATTGTATGCAAGGGGTGCCGAGTGCTTTATCGCCGGCTAGTAGTTGGGAAGCCGGTAAAATGTTTCTCGTGAAAATTACGCCGGCGAAAGTGCGCCCTTCGCCGCATGGTGCAACGACACCGATCGGCAATCGCGGGGATTACTGAATGTTTGATATAAAGAGGGTTTTATCACATTTTTTATTGGGCTTTAAAACTTTGCTGTTAAATCTCGTTCGATAAGAAGCTTTAACGTCTTTTATGTTTTTACATTTTTACTTGGCAGATTTTTTTTACTTCCAAATATCCGTGCATTGATATTCTTCCAATCGCTCCACATTAATTAGAAGTATCTGTAAAGTTTTTAATTGTTGGAAAACTCGAGCGAAGGAGACTGACGGATTTTTTTTTTTCCCCCAGGCGTTCCTAACGATTGCGGATCCGGAAACTCAGTCGACGGAGCAGCGCGACGTGGATCCGCGACTACAGTATCCTTTACAAAAGTTTTCGCGCGTAACAGTTTCCCCCATCACGTTTCATCGTGATCGGCCCTCGTCGAGATTTGTCTTACCCGCGTTGCCTTTGAAATTCATATCACACGCCTCCTAACGCGAGGATCGTACCTCGTAGACGTAACTTTCACGAACTAGATACCTCCTAGTTTGAATAATTCGCACGTGTTATCTCGCATTTCATCACGTAGTAACTTATCCTTAACGGGAGATTCAGAGCTCGGTTTACTCAAGCGGTCGCCGCCCTGCAGTTCCTCGGCTTCATCAAGACTTCTCGAAGGAAAACGGATCACGTAAAGCGCCTTACGTAACAACAATATCGCGCGTTTGATTGTTTGCCTTGTTTGCTCGTATGCAACTTGTTATGCATGCGTCATGCCTGAACGTGTACTTTCCAGTTATTTTGTTTTGTACCGTTTATACGGATTTGTACTATTTATATGAATAAAACAATACATCACGAATGAATAAAACAATATGAAAATGAGTATTATTTGTCGTATCGGAAACCTAAGAATCCGAGTGCGCCCGCGCCTTGCAATTTAAATATTTATTTTCTAATTATCGAAATCGGGAGGAGCTGTGAAAACTGCTTGCTCCACAGCGATCTGATAAGAATGCATTGGTGTAAATTGATTACGAATTGAGAAAGTTGAGAGCTCACATCGGACTCGCAGATCGAATCCAGCGCTCCAAATTACGCATACATCTTTTATTTGGCGGGATGTTTTTTTTTTTTTATTCCTTTTACGACTCCTGGTTGCCGGGCACGATCAAGGATACGTGCCCTGCGTATTTATTTTTCCACCACATCGTCTCTCAGGATTCACAGCGGAAGTTATTATGCTGAATCCGCTGCGGAATAATTTAACGGCTTGCACGCATATTGATGACGCGCGTTTTGCGTTTGCATAAGTTTCTCACAATCGCCACAGTCCTGAAATACTTAAATCCACGGGCCAAACCGATACGCAATTACTCTTTCGCCGCCCCTCCCCGGCTTCTCCAGGCTTTTGAAAATCCGCAATATCGATTACACCGTCTTTGTGGCGGCGCCGGGCGTGCCGCGCGTTCCATAACGTCGCACAGAAAAAAATTCGGCCGTGAGCACACAGCAATCGTTTTCGCATTTTAACCCGGACGAATATCGATTAATTGGATTCTCGCGACGATCCTTCTCTCGTCAGGCGACACGGACAAAAACTGATACTCCGCGCGGCGATTTTCAATCTTTCGACGGACAAGATTTATTCATGCCGAAATTTAGCCGCGGAAGATCTCGCGATGTCGCGAGCGGAAGTCGCACGACCTGTGGAAATAACACTGTGCGACACGAATTTTGGCACTTGAGCAATAAAAATGGATTTCGATAGGTTTTTTCCCGTAGAATTCGGATCCGAAAAGAAAATTAACGAATTGGCTCTAGTTTTTGCAAAAAACGGTGTCAAATGTGCAAAAAAACGTGTTTTTGGCCATTTTTGAGTACCTGTAGGAAAATAACGCGAGCTAATAGAACCTTCTAAGTGGGATGAAATTAAAGCTTGAACCTTGGCCTTTTAAACTAAAAAAGAAAAAATCAGGTATCATAACCTTGGGGTACTCGGGAAGAGAAAAGGTATCAGGGCAAATCTACGGTGAATATGCTAGCCGATTATTGTTGGATGCTCATTCGTGATTCTTCTCAAACTACCTATAAACGGAAAGCACAACGATCCGTGAAAATACAGGGGAATCACATTCCAAAAAGCACATAGAGAAAAACGTTTCTTTGCATTTAATATATACGTATTTGTTTGACTTGTATCTGTTTCACTGAAAATAAATAATATTTTACACGAATATTATTTTATTGTTGAATATTATTATAAAATTATTCTTTTATTATATATAATCCCGATTCGGAAGAGACAATAGTATTTATATAAAAGCACCCAGATTAATAAGTTAGAGAACGTAGAGAATAATGCGCGCGGAGAGGAAACCATGTACTGAAATTGGTGCGCGCTCGTATAGAAAAGCTGTTCCCGAGTACCCCAAGGTCATGATACCTGATTTTTTCTTTTTTAGTTTAAAAGGCCAAGGTTCAAGCTTTAATTTCATCCTACTTAGAAGGTTCTATTAGCTTGCGTTATTTTTCTACAGGTACTCAAAAATGGCCAAAAACACGTTTTTTGCACATTTGACACCGTTTTTTGCAAAAACTAGAGCCAATTCGCTAATTTTCTTTTCGGATCCGAATTCTACGGGAAAAAACCTATCGAAATCCGTTTTCATTGTTTAAGTGCCTGAAAAAAAGTTCAAAAATGTCGGACAGTGTAATCAATCGGCGGAAATAATGAACGAGAAACCTTTCGACGGCGACTCGTGCTCGACGAAGACCGCAGCCACGCGTAATAATATCGTCGGTTTATCTATAATGTCTATCGAGCCCACATCAAAGTCCCCTATTTTCTATACGTACGCGAACACACAGCATTATCAGTCCTCGTTGCACGTCACATGTCCCCCCGAGCGCCCGTTACGATCCATTGTCACGAGTATCATGACGTAGCACATCCGCGGCGCAGATCTACTAGGGATAATGTCCGGACAAAGCCAGACGGAAATCTCCCCTGCGTCGCGGCCAATCGTAGAACAATCCCGCGCTCAAAGGGGGAGCGAGCGCACAGCGGAGGATTCGGCAAAGGTTAACGTCTGCGCTTCAAGACGGGGGATTCTCTTGGCAGGGTACGTTAACCCTCTCGGCTTTGACCCCGCACGAGAAGAAAGGAAAGAGAGGTAAGACTCGTGCGTCCGACAGCGTCCGCCGCATTGAGGCAAGCAGCCTCAAGGATATAAGGGTGACTCCAGTGTCAAAGGAGCAAGAGGCGCCGCGACCTTTCGAGATTTCCTGGGAGGCCTTCGCGCGGACACCGATATTTGATTTTCAGAATGCGGAGAATTTGCAGGGGGAATTTACGCGCAATTAAATTTGTGTGAAATTTGAAAAACATGGATTTTTAGAGTTGGAAATATTTTTTAAAGGAAAATCAAGAATTTATATCTAGAATCTAAAACAATACAAGCGCGCACTTATTGTAATAATTTAATAATTATGAAATCTAAATATTTTAATAAAATTTTTTAAATTTTAAGTAACCGTCAAAATAACCTTCGTTCTCAAACTACCAAACTGTCAGAATAATCGAGATAACCAATCAGCGTCGCGGAAAAGCGTCAACAATACTTTCGAGTATCGATCTTTCATGCCTTTTTTAAGAGTGGAAAATCCAAAGGAGCGAAAAAGATTTGCAAATGTTTCACGTAATTTAGGCGATTTGGAAACACAAAAGCTAAAAAAATTGGGAAAGAGCTAAAGGATTGGAGGCTATAGAATTCAAGGATCCGCACTGCAGCGCATCGGAATACAATAATCCCGATGTCAAAGGACCGAGAGTCTTACGAGTCGACAGAGGACACTCTATTGCCTTCCGCAGAGGACTTTGGCTCGTATGCAGATAAATGGAGATACGACGCAGCCGCCCGTTTGCATATGCACTTTGCCTTTTGGGTCGAGCTCGACGGCCGATGGTATCGATCCGGCGCGTTCCCGAAGGTCTCTCTCGGATCGACGGCTGTCTTACTTCAAACGGGACGGTGCACACTTGGAAAATTATAATGTAAATTCGCGATTTTACGATCCGTGCGAAACCTTTTGCTCGGATCGACAACTGTTCCGATTTCGGAGATTGCTTCAATCAAAATCGAAACCGTGAAAGAGAAATCTGTCGTTAAAATCGAGCTCGAGATTTCCGGGCCACGCGACTTACGTCGTGGAAGAGAAGCGCGGTATGAATTCTAGCCGAGAGAGATAAATCCTCAAAGAAAAAGTTTTGTTTCAATAACGCCAAATGCGCCGAGATCTGTTCGTCCTTTCTCGCGCCGATCTTATCCGCGTTCCTTTTCTCGCCGCTATCGATCCCCGCGCGCGAGAGCCGCCCCGGCGAAAATCCATTTGCAAGAAAAATCTATGAGAAGTCCACTTCTCCGACTCGACCGAACTACCGATACCGGAGGGCGAGAATCAGTTTTCCGGCTCGGGAAGCTGCCCAACCTTCTCGTAACCTTCGTGCTCAATCGACGGCGCGACCCCCCGATATCCTTTCGGCATCCTCTTTAACTTGTCGCTATCGTTATATCGGATCTGCCCGGCGACGGCCGACGGAGAAACGAAGTCTATTCTTTATCCCGGCTGCGCGAATCGGGGTGTATATATTTCCCGGGTAACGTCGCAACGATTTCTCTCGGCGGAGCGCGCAGAGCCCTTCCGGCAGGATGAAGCGGGGCGAAACTTTATGTTCCGCTTCGCGCTGCGAAAAGCCCTTTTCTATCATTCTTGAAAAATTGCTCGGTCTCTCCTCTTTATCATTCTGCTTTATAAAGTTAAGTAAATTAAGCTGACGGATATTCATTACGCATAATTGAATTATTTTTCTTTGAGATAAAAGACCGGCCTGGAAGTACAGGCCGCTCTCAGCTATTCGCACTACTATTTCTCGCCAGACTCGGCGAGTTTTCGACTCATACGTTTGATCTTCTCTTTTTCAATCAACAATTCCTCTCGCTTCTCGCGATTCTTTACGGCCAGCAGGAATTTGGCCAACGACAGGCCACTTGGACAGCGCGCGCGAACAATTCTATTTCGACGTGATGTAATTTAAAATTAACAGTGACATACGATGTGTGCGGGGCGATTCGCGGACGGACGACGAGAGCAGAGTCGCGTTGGGGACGATTGCGGTGTCGTGGCCGGCGCGGTTCGCGGACGCACCTGCAATTACCAATTATAATTACGCGCGGGCTAATTGGTAAACAGTAGTAATAACAACGCGCGTTCATCGATCAGCGGCCTGGGAGCCGGCCGCATCGCTCGCCAATAATCGTTCCCGTACGCCATCCGCTCGTTTCACCGCTGGCAAATGTCTCTCGTCATGTACGCTTGTTAAGTGTAACGTATTTTTAATTTCTCACCGCCGCTGAATGTGGCAAACATTTCGGATCTCGTAAACTTTCCCAATCAAATGCGACTTACGGATATCCACACGTCGATTCGGCGTAATATTTTTGGAGGTGGATAAAAATATTTCTGTATAGACAATCACACTTTCCTACACTTTCGAGATTTCGGGCGGAAGAAAAATAGAATATTGATCGAGGGAGACACTTTTTTGCGAACAAATGTTGATTTATAAAATATATTCCAACAATTTTATTTCACTTACCTTTTTTCTTTCGCACAGTTAGTGTATAATATTATTTCAGTAAAGTTCGAACATGTACGGATCAATACACGCGTCTTCTGCAAGGCAAAATATCTACGCCATTACACGTGCTTTTTTTCCCCAAACGCCGCGATAGGATGATTCCGAATCTCCTCGGAGATCCGAGAGTACCGTGGAAAACTACCCTTGGGTACTGTGGAATTTCTCGGCGCAGATGACTA